ATGCAGCGCAAGTAGCTTCGAGGTCAGTCGAAAGAGAGCTTAATGAGTTTGCAGTGGAAAGGCATCGCTCAACCGAAGAATATAGTGCCATTTATTTGTGGTGTTTGCCAACATTACATCTGACCTCTTTCCGCTTTTCCAGTATTCATTTTAATGATTTTATTTTACTTAATTTAAGCCATGCGTTATGCGTAATTAGGCTTTTTATTTCTTACACTCATAATCCTTGTATCGAATTTTGAATTCGAGTTCTAGTCTATTTTTTGCTTTTAGATCCGTATCACTTTGAAATCAGACATTCCCGTGCAGGTGGACGGTGAGCCGTGGATTCAGTCGCCTGGACAGATTGTTGTTTTACGCTCCGCCGTTAAGGTGATAATGCCGCCTTTGACTGAACCGGTCCTTTTTTACAGGGTGCTATTTTTCATTGGTCAGCTTAAACTGTTAGATAGGCGTTAATCAAGTGAACAGGGGGTAGCAAAAGGTTGATTGATACTTTACAAGTCTCATCAGGTCCCTCACTAACACTTAACTAAATTAACACTTCGCCAACATTTTAGTCGAAAATCAGCAAGGCTATGTTTGTATCAACATATTTCGGGCTTTTTCACTTCATTTTAGGGAAATTAAAAAATGTATTGATAGGTATAGAGTTACGTTGAAATAGTTCATGGTGATTCACTTTTCAACTCTTGAAAGCCCTCGTCTTCTTACCCATTAGATGATGAGCCTGACGTGAAAAAAAATTAACGGCTTTACGTTATCATGCCATGATTGCATTTTTGTGGCCGATTCACCAGGCATAGTATCAGCATGTGATAAATAGGTATGATGCCAGTTGCGGGTAAAATTTGCTTCTCTTCTCATTGACTCGTATCTAAGGGCACCTTATTACTTTTCTCTCTAACGTAGTCATAATATGCGTGTCATCTTGTCGGTAATGCAGTGGAACTATCGCGCCCTTTTGGATGCATAGAATGCTGTGACTAAACTTACTTTAGAATGCGGAGTCAGTGTAGTTGGGGGGAATGTCAAATCAAGTAAATCCGAAGTGAAATGTGGATTGCTGTATAGGACAATTTGAGCGCGTACCACTTTCATGTTGGCTCTAGTAAGTGCTCGTGTTGTCGTGTGATCATCTTGCATGTTTGCGAGGACGTGGTGTTTGTAATGCTTACATCGAACCGTAGATGGACGGCGTCGTCGGTCGTCCAACCTACATGATGCATCTTAAAGAAGACGTGTATTCAAAACTGATTCAAAAATATCTTATCGCAAACTGGGAAAAAAGGTCAAGTGATCGAAAATGATTCCCCTAAAATCTAAAAATGGTCAGTTTGTGTAAAAGTAGGATTTTCCTACCATTTAGGTTATTTTGAGAGGTGTCACTTGACCAAGGTGCGCGTTAGGGCATATTGCTTGTTCTAAATAGTCCTGAAAGTGTTGAGGTTTATTGAACCATTCGAGTTTAAAGGACCTCATTCGTGTAAATCTTGTTGACTGAATTACAAAGTTGCCTTCACTTTTACCCGGAATTCAAAATCATGGATCTAATAAAGGTTTTTGGTTTGTGTAGCAAATTAATTGGCGTGTTTTTTGGAATCCCTCTTCTTCTAACTGATTGCTTTGCAATGATGATGATCTTAAGCTCCAAGTTAACTTGCAGGCGGCTCGTGGTCCCTTGATACAGATGCTTTTGTGACTTGTGATCTATCCCCAGAGAGCGTGCGACAGGCACGACCGCCTACTGTGACCCCTGTGCCTTCTTACTTTAGCACTCCTGCAAGGACTTGGGCTCTTGCTAGATGCGGAGTCAGTTTCCACTTCGGTGCTCTAACGTGTTGCGATTAAAAGACCTCGGAAAGAGTGTTTTGTGTTTGCGCAGTGTGTTTAAAATTCTGGATTCACTCTGCGTGTATCTGTTTTAAGTGGAGTCGCTTTTGTTATAACTTTGGGTCCAATGGTAAAAATTGATAGTTTACTTTAGATGTATAAACGGTGTTGGTGCTACAGCACATTGGGTATCAAAGACAGCCATTGTGCTTATTAAATCCGTCTAGACACAAGCCTATCTAGGGCTACTTTACCAATTACGGCTGGCTGGATTGGGTTGTGACGAGCAGCAGGCGCGAGCGAAGGCAGTTAGCAAGCGTCAGCGAACGCGATGCACTTCACGCAACTCCGCTCGCTCAAGGATCGGTGCTTAGCGAAGTTATGTAAACGCACTTGTTATCCTGTACAAACACCTGCGCTGCTATTGCATCAATCAACTAACCGAGCTAAGCGTCATCAGCATTTTTTGACTCCTTCTTTTGGCCAGTCCTTGTCAGCGTATGTCGCAGGCCCTGGCGTGGTTTCCAAAACCTCACCGCGGCCCACTACAGGGTGAACCGAAAATTCTACAAATGTGTAGCCTGCTTAACGAAAGCAAAGCGCCCATTTTCCTACTGCAGTTAAAATGCCTGACACGAAATACTGTTCCTCAGTGGTCAGATTTAATATGCAATATTTAGTGGTTAATAAAGGTACTGTATATAAAGAATTAACCTAAATTCTTAACGGAAGCAAATTGAAAGCTGACCTTTAATGTTTATAGGGTAAGATAGGTATCTATCACGGCAACAACCCTCTTTACTAAAGGCTTTACCTTGTTTTCGGTAAGTCTATTCGTTATGGAAACTAACATTTGCTAACCCTAACAACTACGAACCTCTGAGATTCGACGGTTTGTCCCTAAATTAATTTAATTCGGCCATTCACGGTAGGACCAACACCACTTCACTTTTCTTCGAAAGAATTTCTTTACAGTTAACCTACTGTGGAATTTATGCCCTAAATCAGCCAGACAAATGCGCTTAATTGATTAAACCTTCTAAATACAATTGCCGCTTTCGCGTCCAGGTATTATTTGATAGCTTTCTATTTTGTAGGCGACCATGCTAAAGAAGCGGAAGCGACGAAAAGTGAACCGCCGACATACCGAGCCTGGTCTGGGTGCGGCCAGTGGAGTCGACGCTTCGGAGATCACTCCTGCCGTGCTGCCGTCCCTCGTGCCCCCTGCCGCTGCGGTGTTCACCGACCACACCCCTTCTGCGGTCAATAATCGATCGCTACGAGGATCAACTGCTCTTCGTTCTGAGGCTGCCATGGGTGCCTCTCAGATCACTCTACACACACAGGTCAGTCAAAATTAGGTCAATAGCCCACATGCCATATGATTTACCAAATCAAAAGTCTAAGGTTTTAGCAACTATAAGTATAATTTTTGACTAGGTTGCAATGCCATCGGAGCGTCGGCCAGTAACCCCAACCCCCTACTTACTCCATGACTTCACCCTTGAAGATCGATTTGTCGATTGCGGCAGTGGTCCTGAACTTGCACCTCTTAAGATTAACAGCAGTCAAACTGATGCGTTGTCTTCATCTTCTTCCTCTGACTTTCTCTTGAACATGTCACCAACGAGTTTGTAGCGTAAGACAATTATTTGTTTGCTTATCACCCGATTTATTGGTGTTCTATGTAAAGGAGAGGATGTAAGGAAAAAGTTTGATACGATCATGTCTAAAGGTGTAGACTGAAGTGGTAAGACACTTGAAGGATACAGCGATCTTCTCTCAGGACGACTATTCGAGTTAAAGAGGTATTGTAATAGGCTTGAAGAAGATTCTGCCAGCCAGCTTCAATTCTACTCAAGTATAGACAAATTAATTTTAATGATTTTGACATTTGTAATGATTTATAAAGCACGGAATAATGCCTTGACCATGGAAGAAGTCAGGTTATCTACCTCCTTGGTAATGAATTCTTACATGCTCATAAAACTTTCGCATATGTAACTGTGTGTTAAGACAGTAATCCAACATACCTGCTTATTTGTGTCAGCTAATTTGCTGCTTTTCCTCTTCTGGCAGGGTATTTTCCTCTTATTCAAAACGTTGAATCATTATGTATCCAGAGGATGTACGTGGCGGTAGATGCCTTTCTCACGTCCCAATCTCGTTTGAATCGTATAGACATGATGATGACATTCCATTGGAACGAAACTCTGGATCCGCCTCATGGGCACACGCAGATTGACCCCTATCCGTAGGACGTCTTTGAAATGCTCCAAGCTTCCTCCTCGAAGCTACTTGTTGTATCGCCTATATCTTGCTTTCCGGCTCCTGTGGCAAACCGGCCGGACAAGCCATGACAAGCAACCACGCGCCACCCAAACTCGTGCAATTTAAATTCACTCCTTCGTAACCCAGACACTCAGTTGTGATCCTTTTTATCCATTAACCACACCCCTCTACCTCTGCACCGTCCTCCAACCTGGTCTCATACTTTCCACCCTTTCTCCTTTGACTCCTTTAGACATTGATTGGAATTATTTCTGTGCATGTATATACAAATATATACACGTGTTGGTGTCTTAGTTTACGCTATATATGCAACCGAGTACCAAATCTTCTAAAAACCCAGTATTGCAGGATTAATTTTAGTTGCTTGCCTTATTGTCGTAAACCAAATCATCGTCTCCGTATCCATATTTGAGTTGTTAGACAAGCGCTGATTTTCTGCTTGTCTTTCAGTGGACGAAAGGTACTACATCCGTTTCTCACCGTATTGTTTAGGGTTAATGAAAAGTTGCTAAAGAAAACACTGAGAGCCCAAGTAGTCAGCAGGGTGCCAGGCTGCACTTCTAACAGCCAAATTTTGACCGCATCCTTTTTTGTAGCAGTTTAATCGCCAAAAGGGTCTTAGAAAAACTTTAATTTAATAAAAGTGAATATTCTGTCGATGTTATCAAAGTATTACTTGGTTGTACGTTAAACCAATACACCTTAGCGCGAAACCGGGTGGCTGCTCATTTCGAAAATTTATTTTTGCAAGTGATAAAGCCGTTCCTTCCTGCTTAAGGAAAGATCACTGGTTGTGGGTCTAGTTGTTCGCAGTGTTGGCGAAACAGAGCTTTTGGGGAAAGAGGTTCGACGACATCTTTGATGGCTTTACCCATCACTCTAAGCATGAGTTTTCTCCTGAAAAAGCACTCAACGATCTAAATACAGATATTTTGATTACATAGGTGCAACAGATTGCGCCATTGGCAAAAGTGTCAAAGTAGTGAGGAAAATTGTACTTGATGAAAGAGAAATAAAGATGGGGAGAGCTCTGGAATAGACCGCATGTTACTGACACTGCTAATGGGTCAACCAGTGGATTCGTTTGCCGGTGGCATCTCGGAAATGTTTAATGCATTTAAAGTACATCAAGGAAGGCGGTGCGATATCCAAACGTATTTGCCAATCTCTAGCTCACAAGTGTTGATGACTAGAAGTGGAAAACCACAGTTTACAAGTCATCGATTCTCTGATGGTACAACGGTACTTTCATAAACATACTAATTAGACGTGAAGTAAAGTTTATTCAGGCGATAACTAGTAAGAATTAACGTGGGTTTTCCGATTTTATGAAAAACTAACTCATATTGTGGGTCCTTTTCCTTGATCGGGACCAGGAGTTTATCCGGTCGTAATTCCCTCATTTAGTCAGGTGATTGTGATCACTCACGTTCTTGACTTAAGAGTATAAGTCATTTAGGCTTACAGTAGGTGAGGGATGCGGACCATTTTTCGTCAATTTCATTTACCCTAGAGGACTCGGACCGATGATAATTGGCACCTATAACCTATGGATTCTAGCCTGGACGAACTTCGTCAATTAAAAAGACGCCACTGATGATCTCTTTGATTTCGGTTAGTTCGCACTGAAGATTTTATGAAGAATGGTGACCGGCAATGCCTTAAACTTAGTTGTCAATAGGTAATGGGACTTGTCCCACTTCGGAGTTATTTCTCGATTGACGAAATGACAAGAGCCTGCTTGGACCTTAAAGAGAGATTTTTATCAAGCATTTCTCTGTTCCTTCAACCATTTTAATTTAAATTTTTTTAAGCAAAAAGAAAACATGATCACGGTTGTGGTAACTATTAAAAGGTTTTTGTTTTGCAAAAGTGAAGGCACAAAAAAGGCAAGTGCTGAGGAAGATCGAGGTTTATTTAACTTTTCTAATCAGTCACAGCTGTTTGAGTAGTGTTAATGTCTGAGGTGAAGAACAATGTCAAAGGTGCAAACTATAGAAGTCACGCAACAGGAAACACAAGGCAGAGTTGAGCACTGGCACACTAGCCAGCATTAATTTTAAAAATGTGGAGTCACACTCATAATTGTTCTGCATGAGTTTGGTTACGTCAAAAACGGGTTCGACAAATAAGTCTTCCTCGTTTTAAATTTTCATAATCACCTAACCTGTACGTCACTCAGTAAATCTGCAAATAAAACGCCCTTATTTTGTGTGTCAGGTGGGCCATACAAAATGTAATTCCAACACCACTGTGTACCACATAGTCTAGGAAACTGTGACTACCTATCTGAGAATATAGCCTAATTTCACTGATGACGAGCCAAACATTTCACAATTTAGACGAATTATGAATGAATTCTGAGGCTGACTTGGTCAAAATCCAAGAATTATTTTCTTTGTGTAATCCAAGACCATTGTGTCTACATTTTGATCCACATTAAAAGAAGAGAGACTATAGTTAAGCTGTCTAAATAAGTTTTCCTCAATTTCATGTGTGTAGCTCCAAGTACATATAGATTAGCACATTAGAAGAGAATCTCGAAAATATTCTCCACGTCTAGTTAAACCACATAGTTCTCAGAAAAATGCTTAAAGTTAATCTATCCTGAGATTCTTCAATCGATCTGCGGCTTTCACAATAACTATGATCGAGTCTGATTTAAAACTTGTTGAAAATTAGCCTATTCACACGCGATTCGGATGCAGAAAAACATCTTTACAAACTACAGGTTTGAATAAAAGAATGCATTGGCAACGAACCGGCGTGTTAAAATAAGCGTTTAACGCAATTTCGTGACAGTGCTTGGTAGAGAACACACCAAAATATGTTCAATGCATTGGCTGCGACTAGCATTAGCACGAGGCGAGAACGTCAGTCCCTTCTAGCTATTGGACGATCTGAAGACCAATCAAGAATCGACCGTCCACCTTACTAGCCCTGATGCGCGAAAGCCCCAGCGTTAGAGGCTGTGGGGTGGTATTTAGTCAAGTCTGATTAGGTAAAATGGCAATAGATGGGAATCGGAAGCGTGGTCCTGTAGTGAGCGATTACGCTTGGATTTTACTGTTTTGGAACTAGCCTGCTGCTAATGCGTTGAGGGTAAGTAAGTAGACACAATACATCGGTAAATTCAAAGCATGGGGTTAAATTTTAGCGGAAGGATGGTTTAGTGATGGTTTGATTCAACTCGGGATATTTTTTTTTCTACTTTCTTATAAAATAAGCCATAATTTACATTAACGCTTCATTTACTTTTGTTACGAAATATATATACATATAATAACGGCTTCAAGAATTGAGAATTCTTAGCTAAATCAGGAAATACTAATGAATTACAAAGTTGCTGTCTCTGGAAGTGTTAATGAAACAGTATTACTTAAAAAAAGTCAATGGGTTGATTTGTCATAAACTGAGTCAATTGCAGTTATATTCGTTCACTGGTTTTAGGCATTTCAAAATAGCTCAACATCAAGCCACTGCGAATGAAGTCTGCAGATTCTAGTACCAATTATGCACAAAGCCCTAGTTAATGGTCATTGAAATATGTGCACCTCGAAGTAGGAGTCAGTCTTTTTACGACTAACAGAGCATTTCAGGTGTCCTTGCGTGTGCAGGATTCTTAATCATGTTTTGGTAAGAATTAAAGATGATTTTTACTAGGGTCTCAGTAAAACTCAGGCACACCCTCTGCTTACCATTAATAAACATTTCACTGTGAAACCAAATCGGAAAACCTTGGACCAAAATTTCACTATCCTCTTATATTTCGAATGCGCATGACAGAAACATCTGTTTGTACAGCTTTTGCATAATGAAGTGTCTGTGATTTACCGGGAAGAGGAATTGATCAGATCTCATTACTAAACGAAGTCTGGTCAAAATGACTCATCTTGAGGATCAACCCCCTGCGTGTCCATAGTTTCGATTGCGAAGTTAGTTTTTTGGAAAGACCGAGATTTACTGTGCAAAGATATATTCAACTTTGTTAAAGATGCTATGTGCTTTCAAAAAGTTAAATAGGGCTTATAAATAAAAAAATTCGGTATTTATTAGGAATGGAATGCATTTACCTGTCTTTCCATTTCCAATGGTCAATATTACAATGATGACCAAAATGAGTGACCAAATAGCTAAATATGAGCCTTCTGTAGTACTTTTCTTGGTTTTATCCCCATAGAATTTTGAAATGACTGTTACATCTATAACATACCTTTAGTTCAAGCGATAGTTGATTTTAGCTTAGACTGCACGTTCGCAATTACTCGTTTTTACTAAAAGTGTACAAGGAGCCAACCACGAAACCCTCCTTCACCTTTAAAGAAGTTTGTATAAGGGACAAACTAAGCTGGCTTTTACCATTCACGCAAAAGTGGCAACGTCACAATGTATTTTGCAATTTAGAATGGGCAAGGCCTGAATACAGACCGATTGATGGTAGTGTGTTATGGCTATGAGCTCTTTGTTGTGGGATTGATACATTTGGCTAATATTGTTGCATGCTTTTCCTATTTTAAGGACAAGTTTTTTTTCATGAGGACATTTATTGTCATGGCTCCACTAAACAAGATATTTACCGTGCCCTTATTAAAGGAACTCGTGATTCGACTTGGGGCATGCTCTTTTGATGAAAATTAGATTAAGTCAAGTCCCACTCTTAAATCATTAAACCAAATGCAAATTTGAATAACAATTTAATGTCCGAAGGAAATTTTAGTTTGCTGTAATTTTCATCTGGCTAGGGTGTGACCTTTTACTGGAGCACGTACGGACTTGATTTTATTCTTGTTCTACGGTGTGATTATGGAGGCGTTAATAAAGAGTTCAGTTCAATGCTTTGATTTTCACGAGTAAATATTTATAATGTATGCATTCCATGTTCCATGATTGTATCTAAATTGCCGCCAACAAAGACTCTCGAACAAATTGGATAAGGAGCTGGGGCATTGCTGTCCAAAAATGATGGGAACTGAGTCCTTGGTGGGGGCCTGTAGGTAAGCCTTGTGGATTTTATGAAACACGAGAATGGAGTTTAATACGATTTGGGAAGTTTGTTTCAAAGAGACACTGAGACGAGATTCCTTAACATCCAGCAGATACTGGAAAGGCGGCTGATAGACGTCTATGATTTGGTAAAACGAGTCTGTCAAAGTAAGGATGGGATGTTGGAATACTTACAACAGACATGGGAGTGCCTTGTGTACGTGGTTACTTATTGACCACGCGGATGTTGAGAGTTAGTAGTATCTCCCGGCTTAACTGGCCACAAAATACAATATAAAAAAGGTTGGATTTCATGGTATCACTACATTTAAAGGAGGCTGGTATAGATTTCAAAATGGCTCCTGTGGTGAATGATCTAGTGAGTTGGCATTTCATGTTCATTGGACGTTACAGGTGATTGAAAGAACTGACATGGGCGTTTAGGAGAATAATTTGGCTAGTACTCACTAGTACTCATTTGTAAATTTTTCTTAGCTACTATGTGAGCAGTTGCTTGGCCTGGACCCAAAATAATGATTCATGTAAGGGCATTTTTACCTGCTCGCCTTTAAGACCTTTGATTACTGCTTTAAAATAATTAATCGATTTCCAAATGCCAATGATTTGATTTTCACGCGAAATGAAATGAACAATTTTTACTAATTCTACTGCCGCCGTTTGTGCGGCAAAGCAACCCGCACCCCCGTGTTGGATCCACCATTGTGATGATTGAATGGTGGTTGATTTCACTGTCATTTAGGTCACCAAATCGAAGTGGTAGGGTTGGTATGAGGGGGGTTTATTTCCTAAAATAAGGCGTGGAAACCAGAATGTAATACTAACATGCCGAAATTGCATTTCGGGACTACGCATGTACTTGATGTGAAATTGCATTGAAGGGAAATAATGTAGTCAATTTAGTATCTTTGCTAGCTAAATGTGCATTTTCTTTTGTCCGAATCGGGTTCAATTGGCTGTGTGTACACACTTTGGGCCCTTCTTTGAATTGCTCAAGACGACGACCGTGATTATGACACAATCTCGCACAATTTAAAATCTTGATGTGGGTTGACAAAAAGAATCGCGGTGGTAGCAACAGAGGTTTAAGGCTGCGAACACACCTCTGGAGATGGTGCAGTAGACGGGGGGAGTGAAAACTCGTCAATTTCTCCACCCATTGGCGGAATTTGCGTTTGGAGGGTAAAGAATGTAAGCATAAGTTGTGCGAATAGCAGTTTGTAATAAGAATTAAAAGAATATGCGGTGACAAGTGGGATGCGAAGTCAAATATCAGACCACCAGTGAAAAACATTTCGGAATCACGTGGGTCAGTCTTAAGCGACAGTTCAAAACTCCCTAGTTGTGTGGTTTCTTTGTTGCAAGTAGTGCAGACGAATTTGTTCCAGCGGTAAATCTGTAGAGTAGTACTTTAATGTCGGAAGCACATAAAAAGGCCTGAATACTGTCACCTCTACTCCGCTGTCAGGATGTAGAATAGGTGGTATTTACTAGGTGGGTTGGTAACATATTCGAAGTCTTAATTTTTCATTTGATGAACTGCTTCAAATTGTTTCATCTAAATACTGGCATGGGTTTTCATTTGCTGAGTACCTTATTGTGTGAGTATTATAAGGCCACTTCCCTATTCTCGTTCTCCATTGATTATTCAACAGAAAAATAGAAATTAAAAATTCATTGACCACCTCGTTTGCTACAATCAGAACTAAAAAAGCTATTGGCCATTAGCATGATTCTCTTGTTAGTTTCTTTTTAAAAAAAACTTATTAACTCTGTCACCGCTTGTAAAACGTGACAAGTACTTGTGGGTCGTCCAAAGAAATTACACAAATTACATTAAAGCCTTTTAGGCCTTCAGCGTGAGCGTTCAAATAGTGCATCAATGTTTCCTTCTATTTAATGTGAATCCTCAAAATACTGGCCACCTGCACTAATCAAGTGTTTAATCTGTACTAGTCATATTCTTCGCCTTACCTTAGGCAATGGACTCTGAACATCGTGTGATTTTGAACGTTGGGGGCATACGACATGAAACGTACAAGGCGACGTTGAAGAAGATACCCGCCACTAGACTCTCCAGGCTGACTGAAGCTTTGGCCAATTACGATCCTCTTCTGAACGAGTATTTTTTCGACCGCCATCCAGGAGTGTTTGCTCAAATACTAAATTACTACCGTACTGGAAAACTGCACTACCCAACAGACGTGTGTGGACCTCTTTTCGAGGAGGAACTTGAATTCTGGGGGCTTGACTCGAATCAGGTTAGCTCTTTTTATTACAACTAAGTGACTCTTGCCTTAATCTTGGCACAATCAAATAATTTCATCAGTCGTTGACCTATTTTAAATGACTTGGTTGTACCCGAAGGTCCCTTGGGACGTTGAGGTTGCCACCGCATGTGCGGATTTGAAAGGGCTAATTGTTTACCTTGCGTGATTTGCAGGTTGTGTAATTCTGTGTCAGGGGTGCAAAAAGAGGCCTGTTTCAGTGTCAGTATTTTGTTTTCAGTGGGCCATGATTACGTACCAGATCTTAAATGTCTAACGCTAGTGATAATATTTGTCTACTGTATCATTACACAACTTTTGGTGTCCTCAGTGTGATCTATTAAGCTAATGTTTCATGGCATTACCCACTTTATGCACTTAGTTTTGAGAAGCGTGCTACTGGCAATTAACTACACGCAATGTATATCCGATCACACTGAATTGCCTTTGTTCTTCGTTAGCAAAAGTAACGCTGTTCAGACTTTTTGTCGTTCAGATAAATGCCAGAATTAATTTACCTTGTTTGTATTTTTAAAAGCCCAGAGAGCATAGTCATGAAGTATGCCGACAACGTAATTTATTTATAAGATACCGACGTGACTTCAGAAACGAGCACCCAATTTGCCTGCATATCCACATTGCAGGTTGAACCGTGCTGTTGGATGACATACACGCGGCACCGTGAAACTCAGGACACCTTGCAAACCCTCGAACGACTTGATATCGATACTGATAAAAAGACAGAAGAAGAGCTCTATGAAAAGTTTCATCTTGAGGAGCAGTACCTCACCGGCACCTTGACCAAGTGGCAGAAGTGGAAACCAAAGTTGTGGGCACTGATAGACGAACCATACTCGTCTCTTTACGCCAAGGTGACTCAACTTCGTGGCTCTTTATGTCCAACTGGACGTTCCGATAACATTAAAGTGGTGGAATGGACTTATACTAGGTCAAATGAGATCAAAGCACTCGTTCGGGAAAAAAAGTTTTTATTTCGAGGTCTCAGGCTGTGTTGACAGCAACTAATGCAGACTGATCATGTCAAGAGTTTCTCGAAGGTTTGTCATAAGCCCAAGGTGCTAGTGGCATGACTCAACATCGATAAGATTAAATTCGTTGAGGCGAGAATACAGAAAATGAAAGGAGTAAATACGATCTTGATGTGATTCCGAAATAGTCAGAAATTAATTGTAGTAAATTGACCTCATTAACTGCATTTATTTTTACTGTCACACACGTTTAAGCACTAATATTCCAAACCGCAATCTCTGAAAGTTATCTTTTATTAATTAAGTGAATAAGTAGTAAATCGGAGCTAGCTATTTCTCTGGAAATTCTCTTAGTAATTTATTCAAAATGAACAATTTACAGCATTGATCTCATATTAAGCTAGAGCGATTACATTAGCTTTCAAATTTTTGTACACTTGGTTTTTTTATTTAAACCCACAAAGAATTTTTGATTAGTCTTAGTTAAAAAAAACAAATTATTTATTTTATTCTGTAAGTCGATGATTTTTCACAAATGTGTCTGACCCATGTGAGCAATTCACATGTAAATAGAAATTATTTCAAACGTAACAGCTTATTATGCTTTATTCCAGTTTTGAATGTGTTTTTGGTTTAATGGGGAATTTTGTGAGATTCACGTGTATAAATCATTTTTTAACTCTAAAATTATTACATAGCTTTGGTATTTTGAAAAAAATGTGAACGGGACAATATAATTGTCAAGCTGATTACCTCAAAACTTGTTATCACTATTGAGTTAGTTTACTAACGAGTAAACGATGCCCATATATTTTCCTAACAAAGTATACTTATTAATGCTTTCATTTCAGATAGTCGCCTTTGTATCAGTCTTCTTCATTATCCTCTCAATAGTTTCTTTTTGCTTAAAAACGGCTCCGACAATGCTGATTCCGGAATTGGTAAATCGCACAATCGAACTCCCTGTTAACCTTTCCCCTGATCCCAGTCACACCAGTGGAAGCTACCATTTTGGTGAAATCGAGCCCAGACAAGATGACGACGGAACACATAACCTCGTTCACACTCGGTCGTCTCGATCTGTGTCTCCAGAGTTCTCTTCACGTTCCGCCTTCGATCGCCCCGCTCATAAGGCAAAGCAGATCTTTTGGATGCTCGAACGTACGACAATCAAGGCGCATGATATATTTGACTACATCGAAATCATCTGCAATATATGGTTTACTTTCGAAATCAGTCTTCGCTTTTTGGTGGCGCATTCCAAACTGGACTTTTTCCGATCGGCAGTAAATGTGATTGATCTACTCGCCTTGCTGTCGTTCTACTTGGACCAACTTCTTGCAAAGGTGCTCATGCTTCACTCCGACTACGAGGTTCTTGAGTTCTTCTCGATTGTGCGTATAATGCGCTTATTTAAACTGACTCGACACTACTCGGGCCTAAAGATTCTCATCCACACTTTTCGCGCAAGTCTAAAGGAACTTTTGCTATTGGTGTTTTTTCTTGGTGTGTTCATTATCATATTCGCTGCGTTGATGTACTACGCAGAGAGGTTTCAGCACAACCCTCATAATGACTTCAACTCTATTCCTGTTGGATTGTGGTGGGCTATCGTTACAATGACGACAGTAGGATATGGAGACATGGTCCCGAAAACGTACCTTGGTGAGTTAAAAGGGATTCGTTCAATTTCTCGTACTGCGCAGTTCACATAATTTATCTCCAGCTTTTTAAATTTAGTATTTATATTTGTAATGAATGTGGTTCCACTTACTACAAACTTGCATTGCTCGAACTATGAAGACTGATAATAAATTTGCGTCATGGTCGGGGTCATTTTGACCTAATAACTCTCTCGCTATAGGTCACCTCCGTGATTAGTTTTTCCCTCGAATGTAATTTTGTTAATTGAGGATTATGTGATATCTGAATGGACGCAGCATTTATCTGCAATTTGACTTAAGCTGAGCCTACCGATAACCTCACCTTAAATGAACAATGTACAATCTGATAGGGCACACGAACCTATTTCATAGGTCTTAAAAACCTCTAATAAGACAAAATTAATGGTGAACCCTTATTTTTTATCTTTCATGAATGAATACTAAGTAATGTTTATAAATTTACTAATCTGACATGGTGAGGCTTGCATAAAAGATGCGTCAAAACCGCCCAGTTGGGCTCAAGGATGACCGTTTTGGTTGGGTGCTGCGTACTTGTCCTGTTGAATCATTTTCCCTAGGTGATGAAGATCGTGCTTGACACACTGGTTGATTGACAGTCCCACCGACTCACTCTTCCCATTGTTTAAAATATACCTAAATGCACCCCTTATTGTCGCCGAAGGCAATACGGTATAAAATCCCTGACTAATAGCCAAAAGTGGTCATTTACCGTGAAATTAACGTAGCCCCCATTATGACGTATCGATGTGTTCTATTTTTCAATAGCTCAGGCGTCGCCCACGCTCTTAGCTTTTGAACATTTCCCACTCAAAACGGGTGGTAACCAATGGCACTTTGGTCGCAATTCATTTGTCCGACCATCTGTAGCTTGATTTGGAAGTTGTCATCTAAATCTGGCGAGACATTTATGTGTTCCTCGCCCGTCAATATCTTCTTCTTTGTAGACCATTCAGATTTCTCGAGTCGTGCCTGTGGCTGCAATCCTGTGATTAAACACAGGAGACAAGTGTTACCAAAAATGCAGATTTTAGGGCACGAAGTGCAGGAGATGTGACGGTTAAAGGAAATCAATGTCAACGTCGTACAATTAAGAATCTGCTTCCTCAAGGTTACGGCAAAAAACTAGCAATGTAGTTAGAAAATAGGAAATTGGAAAGCCAACGGACTTTTGCCTCTAATAAACACAAGAAAAATTAGTTAAATTAAATTGATTATTCTGTAATAAATATAAGATTAAAAAGGCCTGATGCTGCAGTATCTGTGTAAATTTTATTAACTGCGACGACTAATTTTTGGTTGTGTAGGAATGGTAGTTGGCGCAATGTGTGCAATCACCGGTGTGCTAACGATCTCCTTGCCTGTTCCAGTGATCGTCTCGAATTTCTCAATGTTTTATTCACACACTCAAGCCAGATCAAAGTTGCCAAAGAAACGACGTCGGGTGTTACCCGTCGAGGCAGTTCGTCCAAAGAATGGTGGAGTGGTTGGTATTGCGGAAGGCGTTTTCACAAGCTTCGCTTCTAACGTCAGTCTTCCAGCGAGAGTAATCGAAGGGTCTGTGGTACCAGAGGTTGGTATTGCAGACACTGCACGTCGGAGATTTAAGGCCAATACCATGTTTGAAAATGACCACGCTGGCCCAGTTTGTTATCAAAAGAGTAAGTTGTTTGCAGTCGGCCTGTATTGTCCTATGGTCTTTACTAATCAACTAAACGCGTCCAAAGAATTCAACTGATTCCACTTGATGCTGTAGGTGAAGCGAAGTTGGGACTTAAACGAAATGACCCCATGACCAATTTGCCAATAGGAAAGAATTTTCTTTGAACCTTAAATCAATGAGCTTCGTGAGACTCAGAGACCCCAAACTGATATCAGGATTCGATTCATACTTCAGTAAAGTGTTTAAAGGGGACCAATATTTGATGCTCCCTTCAAAGATCATTTGCACTAAAGTCTCCAGCTAGCCTCTACATATTGAGGAATTATCTCAGTTTGTTAAGTCCTCGAAGGTGCTAAATAACCTCCTTTTGACCCACACCGACCAAAGTTGGCTAGCTATTTGCCAACAAGGGAATTGAAAAGTCAGCAAGAGTTGGTCGATATCATGGTTGTGAATTAATACTTTTCATTAATGTTGGTGTTCAAATTAAGAAGTCACTTGGAATGTTTGTTTAAGCATCCATTTGGTTGTGGCCATGGCAACTTTCTACTTAATTGACAGTGTTTAGCCAATACCCATTGAGCTTAGGGACTTGCTGTTAAAGCGCTTGGTGTGAAGTGGGCAATGAGTGCTATTAAAACATTTCCTAAGATTGAGAAGACCATCAAACAATTCAACGCCATAATTTTTATGTACCACTCAATTAAATGGCCTTTATCTCCACAAAACAGCGGAATTTCAAAAACACAGAATCTGAGCATTTAAATTAATAATGATAAATAGCTCTTTCATTTGAATTTGAAATGCAATGAAATCACAGTAAAAGCAGACATATTAGGATTTCAAAACTACACTAGTTGAGGTGTCCTCACTAAAACTCGCCAGGAATCCACCACCTGCTCTACGTATTGTCAGTGATGCGCAATCCATTTTTTGTTCTAACATAAAGCCCTTTAATCCTGCATGATTGCTTTCATTGTGCGTTTGTTCATGTGTTATCCTGTTCAAGCATCATAAGATCCCTGTGTCTTGTAGAGCACATGATTCCTATATAACCCATAGTTGGTTTCACGGTTGTCCCATTTGTCAATGCTAAATACGTCTTCTAGAGATTTTTAATTTACAAGTGTTCGATTATTATCGTTACCAAAGTCGAATTAAAGCAAAGTGGATAGCGCCTGCTCAAATTGCTTTTGCAAATGCGCATGTCGACAACCAACAGCCAGGAACAAGTGCAGATAAAGACGTAATTAGGTTGCTGGCGCATGCAAAACCTTGGCAGGATCTAAGTCCGAGGTGCTTTTCCATGGAGATGATGATTTTTTGTATAATTGACCGTTATCTTCTGATGATCTTCCAGCGGTCATTTTGCGAGAAAAGTAGCACTTCCAAACATTACTCATTTATGTAATCCAGGAAATTGGTCTAGAGCCATCGCTTGAGGGTGCCCGAGTGACTAATAATGCAACTACATTAGTGTCGCCTCTAATAAAATTCAAGTAGCCATGCCTTTACCGTAATTGAATTTGTATTCAAAGTCGCTTTTCACTGCAGAGAAACAAAACCATGATACACTCGTCAATGTTTATTATACCAACTGTGAACTTGGCAGCTAGGATTCAGATTTGAAAACAAAATCGCATAACAATAAATCACAGGTATTTCAGTTGCGTCATAATTTATTTTAGCCCAGTTCATTTATTTTCTAGTTAATGCCGTCCCAAATACATCCAACAAATCGGAAGTCTTCCCAAGCTACCCTGGGGAAAGAGGGGAAAATCAAAACTCCAGCTCAACAAATCTTCGACTTTCAAGTGAGTGTTTGTATAGCGTATTCTTTGTCGGATTCACTTACTGACCATTAATCTCGCTAGTATGTATTTAAGCATCTAGATCCCTATTTTCAATTCAGTTAACCATTAACATTCGTGCCTGAAAATTAACGACTTTAATTACACTTACACCTGCATGTTTTATTATCTTAAAATTCAAAACATGTGATTAATACGGAAGCACTTATATTTCCCTTGCTTCAACTTTTTATATTAATTGAAAGATAAAGAAGTGTGCCGGTAATCTATGCTGCTATTAGCAACAATGTCCACTTACACCATTCTGATACCTTCGTGCAATTAGGCATTAGATGCACTGTCCTAGGTAGTTTGGTTCAAATAACGAAGATCGGGACATTGTTTTGCTGCTCTGAAGCTGGTATATGAAGTCTCATCTATTTTTCATTAACATTCCTTCCCAATAATCGGTCCAACACATATAATATGCACACTGCATGAATATTTTGTGTCGAATTGGTCTACTTACATTTCTTCTCCGAACGTTGCCCATAGCTTTTATAATCAGCCAACATTTTAATCGTCCCAAGTTGGACCTCGTAAAGGAGGATGTTTGTACTTCTTAAAAGTGATGTGTTAACGAGGATACAATTTCGATTTCCTCAAATAAAAGGCTTCGTGGTCATTTTGAAGGATTTTCTTCGGTTGAGCGATGCCTTTCCACTGCAAACTCATTAAGCTCTCTTTCGACTGACCTCGAAGCTACTTGCGCTGCATTTTTTCTCAACAACTCGTTACGGGCCAATTTTAACACAAAATGCAAAAATGAGCACGCCCGCAAATGTTAATCTGATATTTACAGACATTCACAAATGGATATGTGAAGTGCGCCATGTTGATTGCATTGATGTGAATGATTCTGTTCAGGAGATTGCTTCACATAAATTTGGCAAACTTTCTGGTCGAACGACTGGATTCGATAGGGACCAAGTCGAAGGCATAATGAAATTCGATCGCCGCATAAACCGTGCCAGAGACTGCAGAGAGGCTTGCAAAATTCTTTTTAAAATCTAGGATAAAATTTGATTATGATTTATTAAAGTGTTTTTGGTTTTACTTGAATTTCTTAAAAATACAAATGGTACTGGAATGCATAAGTATTGTGGAGAAATTGAATAATGGTTGTTTTTTTATTTTTGATTGCTCAGTCAAATTTTGTGGTGTACTAAGAACACTCATTGAAACCAAATCGATAAAATTGTTAAAAATATAATGCGAAATTTTGTAATCAGAAACACCAGTTAGCAATTGTGAAGTTTATCACATAGTTTATTTTGATTTCAAAGGCCAAAACATTTCCATTCCTCATTTTTTGAAAGGACTGTTGGGTAACTAATTGTTGGTGCCCTTAGATATTTCCTTGCCCTCAGAACAAAGCGTCGACCAATTAATTTTGCGTTTTCATGATGCATGCAATAAAAATAAATCTCCTTTAGCATCCATAGGCAAATTCTATCCCCATTGCACTGTAACGGTCGCATTTACATATAAATGTGGCCCCTCAATTAACACTTTTATTTTGTAAAACGAAATTTGGTATTTCTACCTTTGGATTAAGACGGGATCGAGTGATCTCTTTTGGGAAAGAATCAACAGAAATGGCCTCCATCAGCTGCATGATGGGCCACATGATGTTGGTTTTACCGCTGGTACAGCTTTTGTTTTCTTAAAGCCTCGCTCAGCCCTCTAACATGATCTTGTCATGCTTGGTCTCAGTAACTTTGAAAGCATCGAAAATAGCATAGACTATTCGTGGTTTACCATCCTGTTGTTCGTGCTTCTGAGGAAGCACAAGTTGCTGTTCTGAGAAGTTCCACTTTGGTCAGAACTAATGGGAATGAATCGTGCTAATTGATAAACTACGCACTTGGTTTAATTAGGTTTATAATTGGGATATTTTGGTGTTAAATCAAAGATTGTAGCTGACATTAAAATGCGAAGCGTATCCAAAGAAGGTAATAGGCTGCATGCATCGTTTAATTTTACCAATTTAATACTTTTTGTTTGCTTGGCGGTCCCACAAGGCAGCAGATCGCATCTTCACTTCAGCAGGTCGCAGGTGCATGTTAAGCCGTCACGTAGACCATCCGCGTTAACCGTCATTTTATGTAATCTTGCATAAGATTTTTGTAAAATGCTGGCAAACATCCTAATATTTGTAATTCTTTTTGTAGGTAATAAAACCACCTTGTCAGTTTGAAGTTAAATACGTTACATGGTCGCCGATTCTATTTTAGACCACTGAGTTACCTCTGATGAAACCTGTAAATTGGAGAAAGTTCGACTTTCAAAAACACCAATGATAAAATTTTGCACGAATGTGCAAGTGTTACTGGGGTAGAAAAAAGTAGTTTGCATTGACGCATTGAGAAGAATAACCTAATTGGGAAACGATTTTGGTTAGAAAAAAGGATGCGAACTTTGAGCTCGTGGTGGCAGCAAAGTTGCAACTAAAACATCAAGATTAAGTGTGATAGATGACCTCTTGTATACTGTCAAAAAAGCTTATGACACCCCAATGCTAGGTCATACTTCAAAGATCGGTATTTCAGATGTTGTTTCCCGCTGATACTTTTTTCCAAATTGAAATCAGCGACAAAAATGGGGAAGAAAACGGTGCATTGAAGCTCAGTTACGTTGTCACGCATCATGATTATTGGGTTTTTAAGTTGGCGCTCTTACAGATTTATACAAATTGCTCGGCTGGTAAATGCTTTCCTAAAAGGGGCAGAAAACGGGTGATGCATCAAGAGGTTGTTGAGGGCCCGGGCATGTTGGCCTAAACCACGCCGGGGCCACTGCGTTCAATCTAGCCCGATTACGTTACCCTGAGCGCCAGCGCAGATGAGGACCAGAGAGGACGAGGCACAACCGTGTAGTAGACAGCTCAACGAAGTTTGCTGACTGATGCAGTTGAGTGGGTCAGTAAACATACAGAAGTCTGAATGGTCACATGGATAGAGCGGGTGGTGGTGGTACATACAGAAGGGCGAATTAGCAGGCGGTCCCAATGACTGACGTGCACGCCGTGAAAAGGGGGCGTTTGTGTGAGGCTGTGACGACCGGGTTCTTGGACGTGAATCAACACGATTCACTACAAGGTCTGCTGACACCGTTCTTCATTCTTAATCCGGTGCACTTTAAGAGTATGTGCAATTTAATGATATCTATAGTGAATTAAAAGAAACTAAAAACCTTTCTGAAATGAGCTGTGATATTTTATCTTTGGTTAAGTCAGGAGATTCGAAGAGATGAAAGACGTGATGTTGGAGGTTGTGACAAACAAATTCGACGCAAATTTTACTATCATCCTGGGCACGACATTATGATGGATATAAGCACAGGCAACACGTAGTTGTGAAATTTCACTGCGAATTTACTGCAATCAATGGTTTTAAGTCAATTTATTCGTGGCAAGATAACAGAAAGACTAAATTAATGTGTAAATGTCATAAAATAAAATAAACTTTGTCCATCCCGAAAGATATATCCCACAGTAAGAAGCAATTTTGGCACAGTTCAGTTTGAAAGCAAACGGAACACGTGTGACCGATACCAGTGTCTTAGCATTAGTCCCTCCTAGCCACCAATGACGACGCAACGATCCCGGTTACGACAGCCAAACGCGTGGCCCTCTCACGAAATTCCCGAGATTCGCCTAAGACCGGAAGGTCGAGGAATTGGTTTTTCGAGAAAGCGTTTGTCTCTACAAAGCACTAGGGACCTCAAAATGGTTTATCTGTTTGTTTGACGACCGATTGACTAAAATTCACTGACGTGGGCTCATTTTGTAGCAGGCACTCAAAGGCTTTTATGTGACGCTATGGTAATCGCCTGAAAATTTAATCTTTCCGTAATGTTTCCAAACCTATCTCAAGATTAAAAACCTTTATTTTCATTAAGGTTACGTGTTCCTTACCTTACTTGAAAGTTTGCTTTCGATCCCTGCCAAGATTCGACCAATATCAGTCTATTTTACACAGGTTTTTGTTTCAATTATTTTCGTATGTTAATTCCACTGTGTTCGGTTATTTACTTTTTTGATGGATTCAGCCATCACGTGACTGGATACGAGCCAGAAATCATTAGAGGGTTGGTTTTTATATCAGTCTCTTAATTTATGAAATGCGAATATTAGCTTACCTTTGTTAGTCAGGAATGACAACAGCATTGGTAGGCATTGCTAGAAAGAGAGTGTAGACGTTAAATTGCTAATTTCTCGAAAAGATTTAAAGATTAGGGCTTATGCATCATATATCGACACTCTTAAAAATGATATTTTATTTACTAGTGAGTCAGACGTCAGGGGGGATGACCACTTAAATAAAAAGATGTAAAACCATATGAAAGTGAATATGGTAGAGAATCAAAATGCGCACGAGACATAGAACAGTGTCAATAGTCTTTGCAACAAAGGTCAAGACAAGTGATGCAATATAAATCTTGGCCTGCTGCATTGATACAATAAGGCTTTGATTACAATGATGACATTCAAACTCACGCATTTTCAATACACAGATTGAAAATTCCACCTTCTGTGTTTAAAGTTCTTTCATGTACACATTGTGCACTTCATTATTTTCAAACAAAAGGCATTTATCTGTGAATAACTGAGCGTATCTGTTCCTCCTTAAAAGGGATCTTGGTTTCAAGACATAATCAGAACCATTTGATAAAGTTATCCATGATCCTTCTCCACAGCCATCGTCCATCATTTTCAGACACTCTCTTGCCGACTTCACATTTGAGCAGACCCACGGTGTACACAACCTTGGCAAGATCCCTCTTTGTGCGACAATAACTGGCCTGGTACCGCTGCTAACCACTACCAATCATAAACTGGATTCTAACTTGAATCGAAATTTCCTCGTTAGATAGTTGACACGACCCTGAAGTCATTTGTAAAGGAGGCCATTTTTAAACTTACCACCAGAAATACCTCGCATATTTTTGGGGTCAGTAAAACTTATTCGAAGCCACGAACGTTTAAGATGACGTCACATCACCCTGAATGTGTTTCAGCCCAAGCCAAGAGAATTAATACCATGATTTCGGAGATCTTACAAGCCTAGTTTATGCTTAAATTTAAAACCGTCACATAATTAACACGAAAATATGTCTCCTTCATTATCAGTCCTAAAGTGCCCTTCCCATTTCCTTCCAATAAGAACATAAGTTTTAGGGAAAATATCGATCTCATTGAAACTTGGATGGAGTAGATTCCTAAAACGTTACCTTATCGTATAATCTTCTCGATTTCTTTTAATAAATTCCCTGCTACGCGAGTTGAGACTGGAGGAGAATATTTTTAAGTCTTTGTAGTCACTCTTATCTAGATGTCCCTCAAAATAAATCCTTTTTTTCGGAGGAAGTATGCTTTTATTATTATAATTTAATAATCCTGCCATAATGCTTGTGCTCTGCCGAGCAAAACTTATAGATCGTTTCAAAAGCCCTACTTATTGTCTTCACTAAAACGCTAAGCCTCAAATGTCAGAGTTGATTCGAATGAAGTAAAATCTGATTTTCTGCAATGCTTTTGCCGTGAAGATTGGTTAGGATGCAAAGCAAGTTGAGCATAGCGGCTCCAATCCTATTACATATGTAAGTAAGGGAATAGGATTTTTCAAACCACTCACTTCACGGAGCCGAAAATAGCAAACAGTTGAGTTCTTAGCAAGGATGCTGCTTATTTCATATAGGAGCCAACCGAGACACTCGTGGCAGGAAAAGTGGCCTGCCTAAATTTTCACTAAATGCACCAGTAAAATTTCCACGACCTATTTACTAGCGAATAGTTAATAATCAAAGTAATTAGATAAAAAAACAACCAAAATAACTGCGTTTTCATCGACCTCTCAAGGACCCTCAAATGCATGGGAAAACCCAATTGAGCTCTCATTAGCGCAACCGCAACAGCTCAGTCAGCGGAGCATCTACGAAACTGTAAATGAAGCCGTTTCAGTAGGCGACCAGGCACCACCGAATCCTTTTACACCAGGAATCCAAAGTCCACCAGCGCCGGACACCGAAAAACTGAGAGCAACGCGACAGTTCTCGTTTGCCTCTACCCACCGGAAATGGCAAACAAGTCTCATCTCGGGCTCCTGTTTTGACCAAAACGCCGAAAAGGATGCTCCCCCACTACCACCTTCAAGGGAAAATCGAACTGTAAATGCGATACCTCCCAAAGTTACATGACAACCTGGTTACGGGGGAAACCATTTGTAGTTTGGGACCAGTCAGATACGCCTAGGTTTAGTGTATACATTTAATTAATAAGTTGGTTAATTCAGTGTTTACTTTACGACCTGAACCGTCACAGTGACCATGAGGTTCGTAAGCAGAGCCTTTTATAGAACCGCTGAAACCGACTCGAACTACGTCACCACAAGCAGGCAAGTTGATGGGAAAAGATGATCGGGTGGGACATTTGGAACACTGTCACTTCCGAAGTTAAGCAAGAGTTGTCAATGTAGTAAAAACACGAGTGAACGAAATCATCTTGTTGAAATGTATGTTGAAACGCACGAATAAATGTTATGACCCGGAAGAACTGAAATAGGAGGAAAGAGCACTGACCCATTTACTTGAATTCTAGATTCAACTTCAGTTCCTTTGAATTGGACAGTTGGCGATACTAATTACGAGACTAAAGGGCAAGGGAGTTGTGCCACCTTCGTAAGGATAGCGATGAAACTAAACCAATTTGATGATTTTGCCTTTTTTTGTTTTCAATGTAATTTGCCACTCATGCAGATCAAGGTCGTTCACTTACAAACAAAGAAGCTAAGTTTTGATAACAAGTTTATTTTGAGTCATGTTCTATTGGAGAGTAGTGTACACGTATTCGTCACTGTGCAGTTCATGGTCCGCTGGATTCACATTTGAAAAAGAGAATGGCTCCACTTATGATGCGGATAACAAAGAAAGTTTTCTGATATTAGTCAGAGGACCGGAATTTGACTAAAGATGCTGGTAAGAAATCCGGCTATGATCCGATGCACTCATCAACTGGACCACATAGCAAGGCATTGTTATACTGATTTTGCAAGCTATCATATGAACAGGAAACCAATTTTACACTTAGGGATGCAGTACGTGTCAATGCGAGAACTTCGCGTCTTGAACATAAGAGGATACATTAATATTAGCACTGACTGGTCTTCCTTGCAGTGATTTTAAACGTCCATTTTACATTTCCGTGGACTATAATTCCCGTGTTTACAAAAGAAAAAGAATGCACCGTGAGAGCCATGCTTCACTTAAACACTACACAAGAAGTCACCGTGCCGGGAATCAATCACGAACGCTCCGCCGCAGCCAAAAACCTTGTGAGATGATAAGGGTTGGGTCATTAATTGAAATGATGAGTTGATATCGTGGAGCAATACAGTGAGAACAGCTCTAACGGTGGTATTTTGAATGGTTAATAAGGTGATATTTCGTGATGTTGCTTTGAAAGGTCACATCTACGGCGTCAGAAACAGCAAAAATGCAGAAGTCGCCCAAGTACAACCGGACGTTAGCACTGTAGAAGGTAAGCACTGCCCTCCAACGAGCATCTGCAACACTTTTTAACTTCCGTAGCTGTTCCGGAATACATGCCCGCGGGCACGATAAATTTTAGTACCGGTACCAAAAAACCACACCAAGTGGTCATACGTACACACTCGGGAAGTATTACCACCAGATCAGATGTTAGTGGTGCAGGTCTATGAGACCTGATGGGTAATGGAATCCCCGTTGGTATCCAAACTGTGACGGTTACAAGTCGATAGAACATATTGTGTGCAGATTAATTGGCTACGGTCTCCCAGATCCCACAAAAAGGGAAACATGTCTAGCAAAAGATTTTTGGTATGTGTATATTGGAAAGAGGTTAGTAACAGATCAGGTCAAAATCTGCTGCGTGTGTATCCACAAAATATTGGTTTCATGTTGATCTTAGAATAAATGCTGCCTCGTTAGATGGACTAGCTGCGCCTTGCCGACCACCACCACCAACACTGCACGACGATTACTCGCGATGAGGCGATATGCTCATTGACCCTTATGAGGTCTCCCGCGTGTCGACGAAAGAGCCACCAGCAAATTCCGATAAAGCCCAGGTTATACAGTAACACCATCACTACACCGCGACCTGGGGAAGAAGCGACTATTGCGGACGGCTTTGTCGGGGGCACATGTGGTGGTTGTGGGAACTCAAGGGGCCGGTACCTGGTCATTTCTTCCTTCTTTAAAGGAAACGAGTCGAGTTGATATTCGTTGGCTGACACGGACTGTGGGAGCTTTTCGGTGTAATAAGGGACAGAAGAGAACCGTACTGGTTGACCACATGGTTCGTTTGAGGGTCTACAGAAGCCCTCCAGACTATTCCAGGAGGAGGAATGGTAATAGACAGGTGGAAAGGATGGAGTCGCCAAACCCAGAAGGCTAGCTTGAAGAGGTATCGCGGAAGACATGCTAAGGATGCATGTTGCATTGAAAAGAAGGAGAGCCATGCTGGCACTGTGTGATCGGGGCCAGACGTACTTTTGAACTGGCGGGAGAGAGTAGAAACCGATGAAGCTAGTAGAGACCACAAACGCCACAATTAACGACTAAAGGGGAAAAAATAAAAAATTAGAGGACCGTCGTTTAGTAATCACATCCAACACCAAGGATATA